CAAAGCTGAGTACATAAGCGTAGCTAAACACACTAACATGCATTCTCCTATCATCACACACACTTACCTCATTGCACCTGTTTACAAGCACACCCAACAACAAACAAGACACAATAACTAGACAATAATTAATTCATTTTGCCTTGATTACGCATCGAACGGGTTTCCAACTCTACCTCCCCCAAATAAATTTGAGGTTAACTGGAACGGGAGCTAACCGTGCCAGCGACAAACCACACAAAGGTGGCGGAATTCCTGCGCATAATAAATAATAAAAAGGAATATACAGCGTCCTGTACTCCATTGGAAGTTATGATCAAATATAAAGTCACATAACTCCCCTCATATGTTCATACTCAAGGTATATACGTTCCAAGAGTTTTGGTGCGTAATCTCTTTCACTTTACGTTATTTACATATTATTAAACTTGGTGATGACTCTCAAAGCATAACTATTCAATCATCAATAGTTATTCAATCAACAAACATACCAATTTAGTTCTTGAATATTTAGTGACCACATAATATTCAATGTTGAACCCTTTTTAATTCTACCTCAGTGTCAAAGACACCTTAAACGCATAATGCGCCACAAATCCTATCCCTCGGTGTTAAACACACCTTAAGTGCACAAAGGCACCGACGTACAATTTATTCCTCGTGTACATAGACACTTATCTAGATCCTTCCTCATGCTTAAAGCATCAATAAAAATTATATGAACCATAATTAAATTCCTTTTCAATATTCCAAACATAATTAAACCATTAGTTTAATTAAACAAGCTCTCTATCATGCCATAAATAAATATGTAGTCCACATAATCATGCCAAAATATAATTTTCCAATCCATAAACCATCACAAATAATTCATGCTTCACAATTCAATCACCAACACCAATAATTCACAATTTAATACATAAACCTTAGCATGATACTACTTGCAATTGATTGAAATCAAACCTAGCATGATTCTACATCATCAAAATATACTAAGTACGCGAACGTACCTTGAATACGATCTTAAACTCGTCACAACTAGTAAAAATTGCTCACTTCGAAGTCTCCTACACATTAAAATTATAATAGAGTATTAAAACCCACTCTAAACAAATTTCCAGCAATATATACTATCCTAAAATCCCTCCTAGAATAATTAGAATAAGCTGAAATATGTTTAAAACACTCTAATTAAGTCCCACTTGATGGGTAATTTAAATTTCCTTCAAAAACATAATATCTAGGGTTCTACATAAAATTCCAGCACTTTATTTCTAATTAAAACTTGCTGTAATTTGGTTTCAAAGCACTTAAATTGAAGATCTAAACATTCATACATCATATACTTTCATAATTTCATAAATCAAGAACCTAGGGTTTCAAAAATTGGGGCTTTTTAATTTAAAACCAAAGCTGAAAATTAATTAACATGATTACAACATTCAAACATCAAAATTTAATCCCAAAATTCATAATTTATAATTAGATCTAAGCATAGATTGAATTAAAACAAGAAAGCTTCAATTTCTTTTTTTATTTATATATGGTTTCGAAAAAAAAAAAAAAAAAAAAGGGAAGAAGGGCGGCAGCCACCACCGGCTGCCGGCTGCTGGCGGCGGCGGCTGCCTGCTGCCGGCGGCTTGCGCCTGCTGGCAGCGGTGGTGAGGGAGGGCAGCCGCAAGGTTAAGGGGAAGGGGGTAAAATAAAAAGGAAAAAAATAAGGAAGAGAGAGAGAGAGAGAGAGAGAGAGAGAGAGAAGTTTACCTTGGGTTTTTTCCACTCTGGTCAAAGTTTGATTTGCCTCATAAGTGGGATATTTATACCCCTTCTCTACTAACCCTCTTCTAGGTTTTTTTTCCTAATTCCTTCCCTAATAAAACTTGTTAAAAATTTAAACTTCCAAAAATAAAACCCCAACTTTTAAATAAAATGATTAAATAAACTTTCCTTTTATAATAATATTAATTAAAATACTTTAATTAAAATAATTACTACTATTTAAATACTTTATAAAATACATACTTTAATTAAAATACGTATAAAATACGGGGTATTACACACTTGCCCTTTCTCCCAACTTGGAGAATGGCTGTTTAATCATCTTGTCTAATAGACATCCCTCGCAATTGTCAAACGATTCTAAATCGAAAGAGTCAAGAACACCTTCTTGTAGAAGTTTCTTGATGCGTTTGATGTTGATGTGGCCAAGACGACAATGCCACAAGTAAGTCTGATTTGACTCTATGGTCTTAGCTCATTTGGTATCATTATAAACAATTTGTCCAAAGACACAAACGTGTCATTCCATAAATATAAACAAGATGATATGTCTTGTGATCAAGTTCAAAATGACGTCCAACGCCACAAGATCAAAATATGGTAGATAAAACTAAACAAGTTTTAAATCTAGACAAAATATGAGATTACAAGCTTTCTTTGAAAGATTATCTTCTTCTTCCACTTGTGTACTCATATCCACTTGAAAAGCACCGCTCACTTTGTTCCTGAAATAGGAGCATATAGTGAGCCAATTTTCCGGTATCTAATACCTTATAAATGGCTTATGTTCAAGTGTAAAGATGATACCTGAGATTGAGGTTACTTTTCTTTTCGCCTCATCTTCTAGATACATGCTACATTCTCTTTTGTAGTGTCCGGGTCTACTACAATAGAAGCAGCGCATCTTAGCTTTGTTCTTGAACTCCTTCTTCTTTGGTCTCAGAGCAACCTTAGCCTTCTTGCAAGAATAGGTTTTCTGGAGCTCTTGAACAACTTCCATCAAGGACAGTTTGTTCCGCTTGGCCGTAAGTCGCATCTTTAATGCAACATACCCCAAATGGAGTGAGCTTAGTAGCATGAGAGCCGCTTGCTCATCGTCCACTGGTTTTCCAATTAGCTCCAGATGGGTGAATAGCCTTGTCATGTTGAGCACATGAGCTTGAAGTGGCATCCCGGGTCTAAGTCTTGCATTATAGACCTTAGCCCATACTTCTTGTCTCTCTTTCGTGAGACACCCATCTTGCGGTGGCTTGATCCTCATGTTCGAGAGTGACCTAGTCACATCTTCCACAAGTCCATCATAGTTGCCTCTGGTACTTTTGGTGACTCTCAAATTGACTACATCTTCTAGAGCTTTGAGCATCATGTCCGGAAAATAGTTGGAGAACTTCCTCTTCCATTGTACCGGGATGGAGTTTTCCATGAGTCTGGAAACTCTTTTACAATCCACACTCCATACCTCATGTGCCTCATCACTCATAATCCCCTTTGAGTAGAAACTCGGGATTTGAGTGTCCAGAATGTGCTCTAGGTAGCAATTTCAGAGGGTCTTTTGGAGTTCCTCTTCCCATTCCTTAAAGTTTACCAAGTTCAGAGAAATTGGCAACTTTTCAGGCAATTCCGGGAGCATAAGGTCGTTGACATTAGTTGAAGACATGATTCTACAATTGAAAGAATTTGAAATAAAAAACCATTCATTATACTTAAATAAGATTGAATTCATGCATTTTAATCAAACTTATTTAAAACGTCTTATTCACACATTAAAAATTGTCCCCATTTTAGGTGAGAATAAGTCGATTCCAAGATCCAAAGAAACAAAGAGTGGTTAAGCATGCTTTGGCTTGTCTTAACACTCAATCTCCTAAGGTAAGCAACGCTTTGCTAATGGCTCCAAGCCACTCTTGGTTGAATAAATCGTCGCATCCAATGCTCTCTAAACAATTTATTCACTTTGCCACGACATGTTAGGACTCCATCACTCATATCGTTGAGTATAACCAAAACCACCTTGCATACCCGGTATGCCTCACGTTCCTTGGAGAAGTAGTGATGCCTCGCTTTGGCGTAGCCCACCACTACCCTCGTTCGGTTGGTAAGTGTGTTTTGGAATGACAAGTTTTTACTCAATATTTTAGGGACCTAGGGTTTCTATGTTGGTTGATTTAAGTGAACTTAATTAATCATCTCAACAATCGAAATCCTAAACATGCATCTAACATATAATTCATATATATATAAACATAAATATATATCGAAAACATAAATAGAGATGCATTTGGCAACTAGCATGACCCCTTGAGATCTTCAAGTCTTCAAAAGGTCTTCATTTGCAACTTCATGGCTTTGTCTTCTAAGAACCCCGTCTTCAAGACTTGACCAAAATATTACAATTGCTAGTATCTACGATTAGGACTAATCTAAATATTAAGGTACCAAAATACTCAACGGTTCGCAGACCGTATTTAGATTTACAAAAATACATCACGGATCACAGTCCGTATTTTCTATCCTAATCGGGCCCCACTAGTTGCCATTTCATAAAACCTGGGAGAGAATTTACATTCCATTCATCCATTCACTATATGTGAATGGCCCATGCATTTTACAACGATAAACAAGTAACAATGCATAAAACGCGCGAGAACTAGTAACTAATCTAGGTGGTTAATCCAATTAACACGCCTAATTAAACTAGTCAAAGTTGTTTTAACCGGTTATGGAAATAACTAAGAGACACTCCCACTAAATTCCGCATCCAACTTAACTAATCCAATTAATTAAGTCGGTGAACCCAAATATTTGCCAAAATTAATTTTTGCAAATGTCGCTAAAAAACTGAGGCCTAGCCTCCAAAAATTTTAATTAAATAAACAAAATAATTAAAATAATTAAAACGACAATTTATGCAAAATACGTATTCCAAAATGTCTAAGTGCCTAGCACTAAGACTTGGAGTCCAAAAAATACCCTTATTTACATATTAAGCAGCGCTAAAATTTAACTTTAAAATAGCATCGCCTTAATACTACAAGAAAAACACCTTTCCGTGGCGATTATTTCGTAGTGATTTTAGATTCGCTACGATATGTAACTGATGTTTGGGAAACAATAAAGGATATCGTATCACATAATAATCGCCACATTAACCCCAATAAAATCAGTACAAAAAAAACCAAATTTCAATAGTCCCACTTTATTCTCTAGTTATTATTCAGAATGGATATTGTATCAATTGACAATCGCTACATTAAACCCAAGAATCGACACTAAAAATCTTATAAGAGATTTTTTTTCCTTTAAAAATTTCACCAAATTTTTTTTGGTTTCCCGGACTTTACCACAGAACTCCCGCCCACTAAAAATTATTTTTGCGTGAAAATTTATTTAGGTTTCTTTTAGTATTAGGTTTTACTAAGTTTGATTCACATTTCACCAGTTAAGCAAAACTAAACCTCTATTCCTTTTAAAAACCCCCAATTCTTCTACATGCAATCTAATTCTCGATCAATTTACCTCTTGGATCTTCAAATTCGAGAAGCGATTAAGGTAAAAGATTGAATTTGATACTTGAATTATCAACTTTTTTTATTATTTTAATTCGTGAATTCATGATATAAGATAATTGCATGCTGCTACCTCAATTCTTCTCTCTGTAAATTGATTTTCGATCAATTCATTGCTTGAATGTATAATTTTGGTAAGAATTCAAGTAATTAATTGTCCCTTAATTTTTCAGAGTATAGAAATTTGATATTTTTACAGAATTAACCATAAAAGAAATACGCTAATCACACAAATTTGCAACTGGTCTTAAAATTGAAACTACTTACATTTGTCACATTGAAATTTAAGAACTTTGTATATTAAAGTTTATGATATTTCATGATTTTTTTAATATTTGATTACAAATAGAAGTTTGTAGTGGTTGTTATTAAGTAGATTTATGCGGTTCATTCCACTAATGGACTATACATGTTCTTGATTTTCGATTGTCAGATTCTTTTGGCTTAATTGTTGGAAGCTCTAAAGTTTATCGTTGCGGCAAATTTTTTTTTTGTAAGTTGCCTTTAACTCTAAAGTTCAATTAATTATATGTTGTTGTTTTGTATGAAGTTATTGAAAATTTTGTAAGTGTTGATTATATTTCATTACTTTGTTTGGTAGTGGTTGTTATTTGTTTAATTTGCTTTATGTTATATGGTTCATATTATAAAACTTAATAGCTTGCTAGTAGACAATGAAATTTTTTTAAACTGTAGAAGATTTAAGCTTTCAAATTATGTGAAAGAATATTCATATCAGTAGTTAACCTTCTCAAGGTGTATATGACTAATTCAATTATATAACTATAATCAAGACAAGAGCTAAAAAATAATAATAGTAGTTGATACGAAGTAAAAAAAAAAAAAAAAAAGCTTTGCTCATTGTGTTAAACTTTTAACGGCATATAATTTTTGGTAATTTGATTACTTAAAATAAATTAAGATGTAAGTGGGGTAGTTATAGTATTAAGATTTTGTAAAAGAAAAATAGTGAGGCTAATATTTTAATACAAATTAATAAATATGGTAAGAAAGAAAAAATAAGAAAAGTAGTAGTGGGTTTGGGTGGGAACTATGAGAGGAGAGATTGAAATGTAACTTTTTGCCCAAAAAAATCAAAGTGTAATGCTTTAAAAATAAAACAGGCGCATCTTCTTAGTGTAGCACATTAAAAAACACGGAGGGAGTACATTTTTAGGATATAATTCTTCAATTCTAACGAGTGCAAGTACTACTTACAACTTAATATAACAAAGATATTAGAGGAAGCAACTTTTATCTTCTTTTTTTGTATTTGTTTGATTCTTAAATGCCTTTTCTCTTATATGATTGACTCATATATGACTTTAAATAATAAAATGATCATGTTCTATGGAATAATTGGTTGTTTAAAGATATGCACATAAGGTGTTGGTTAGAATTTTATATATGCTGATTATGACTACATAATATACATATGAAATTTTAATTTTAATAATTCTCATAGAATCACATTATATTTTTCAATAACAGTGATTTATTATGGATAATCGCAAGCGTAAAAGCTGGGCTGATTATGATATTGGAAGGGTGGAATATAAAGATGGCTTAACTAAATTTGTAAAACTAGCATTTGAAAGTGCTTGTGATGTTACAATTGCGTGTCCTTGTAGCAAATGCGTACGTTACCATAGGCATAGTGAAGAAGAAGTTTACGATCATTTAGTAATAAATGGACCCATGCGTGATTTTGAGAAATGGTACACTAATAATGAATTAGGTTCAACATCTACATTATTAGGGGATGGCCAAGTTTTACAGGAAAAAAATGTTGCTGATGATCTCACACATATGTTAGGAGATGCCTTTGGATTTCATGATGAAATTGTCAATGATGCTTCTAATTTAGATGGTCAAGTTGATTCAGATATAGATAATCAACAAACCAATGATGAGCATATGAATAGCAATGTTGATATGTTCAACAAGTTATTACAAGATGCTACTATGCAATTACACCCTGGGTGTAGTGAGTACTCTAGGTTGTCCTTTATTTTACATCTTTATCATATCAAAAATTCATTTGGATGGTCTGACAATTCATTTAATGAAATATTGAAACTTTTAAAAAGGGCTCTGCCAGAAGGGGAAAAATTGCCTGAATCTCTATATGAGACTAGGAAAATTGTTGATGAGATCAGTCTTAGTTGTGAGAAAATCGATGCATGCCCAAATGATTGTATGCTTTTTTGGAAAGATAAGGCTACGGATGATACATGTAGTTTATGTGGGGAATCACGATGGAAACCTTTTGTTGAAAGTTCTAGTAAGGCTTCATCTAGATCGAAAACAAAGAAAGAAAAAAAATTTCCGATTAAGGTTTTAAGATATTTTCCTTTAACACCAAGGCTCCAAAGATTATACATGTCATCTAAAACTGCCGAAGAAATGATATGGCATGACAAAGATCGCAAAAAAGAAGAGGGTGTTTTAAGGCATCCTGCTGATACTGAAGCTTGGAAGAAGTTTGACTCTATATATCCTGAGTACTCATCAGAACCTCGAAATGTCAGATTATGATTGGCAACTGATGGTTTTAATCCATTTGGTGAAAAGAGAAGCACTCATAGTACATGGCCAGTAATTTTAATGGCATATAACTTGCCACCATGGTTGTGCATGAAGAAGCCATTTCTTATGCTTTCACTCCTAATACCTGGCCCTAAAGCTCCAGGGAATAATATTGACATTTACTTGCAGCCTCTTATAGATGAGTTAAAAATGCTATGGGAGGTAGGGGTGCCCACATATGATGCTTATAACAAGGAAACTTTTCAAATGCATGCTTCCCTTCTTTGGACGATTAATGATTTTCCTGCTTATGGCAACTTATCTGGTTGGTGTGTATATGGTAAAAATGCGTGTCCTTGTTGTAATGAGCATACGTGGTCTAAGAGATACAAAAATAGTGGAAAGTGTTGTTATTTAGGCACTCGAATGCATCTTGATTTAGATCATAAGTATCGAGATGAAAAATCTTTTGACAATACCAAAGAACATAGACAAGCTCCTAGTCCACCATCTGGATATGATGTGCTAGAACAATTAAAGAATGTTTCTTTTACCCTTGGAAAAACTCATGCAGGCCAAATTGATGGCGTGAAAGAAAAAACATGGAAAAAATTAAGCATTTTCTTTGAACTTCCTTATTGGAAGGATGTCCAATTGCGTCATAATCTTGATGTGATGCACATAGAGAAAAATGTGTGTGACAATATAATTAATACTCTTTTGAATGTTCCAAAAAAAATTAAAGGACAACTTGAAAGCTCGTCGTACTTTAAAAGAGATTGGAGTAAGAAAACATTTGTGGCCTGTTGAACGTAGTAAGGGAAAATATTATTTGCCTCCTGCTCCTTATAACTTAAGTAATTCGGCAAAAGATCGTTTCTGTGAGGTTTTGGAGAATGTTAAATTTCCAGATGGTTATGCATCAAACATTTCCCGATGTGTAATGAAGCGAAAGTTAAGTGGCCTTAAAAGCCATGATTGCCATGTGTTGATGCAATTATTTCTTCCTATTGCTATGCGAGAAAGTGTAACTGAAAAAGTGGCCTCGGTGTTGATTGAGCTGTGTGACTTTTTCCGAGCATTATGCTCAAAAACACTCATTGTGCAAGAATTAACCGATCTTAAGTCAAAGGTCGTTATAACACTTTGTAATATGGAGAAAATATTTCCCCCAACATTCTTTACAATAATGGTGCATTTGGTGGTGCATTTAGCTGATGAGGCTATAATTGCCGGTCCAGTCCATTATCGTTGGATGTATCCTATTGAGAGGTAACTAATGCATTTTATCCTTCTATTGTTATTAGTTTTCAATATATTTTTTTTAATTTATGTTTTATTTTTACAATCTTTTATCTAAATTTTTTCTATTAAATTATATGTAGATATTTATCAACACTTAGTTCATATGTGAGAAATAAAGCATGTCCTGAAGGTTCAATTGCAAGTGGGTATCTTCTACAAGAATGCTTAACATACTGCTCAAGATACATGGCTGATGTTGATGGAAGAGTAAACCGTTCAACTAGATCTAATGCTTTAGCTAGTGATGAACCTACTGAAGTTTCTGATCTTTTTGCTTCAACTGGGCAACCTTATGGAAAAATTGAAGGATTTATGATGGATGAAAGACAAGAGGTTCAGGCACATAGATATGTGCTTTTTAATTCTGATTGCAAGGAAATTGAAGCTTTAAGAGAGTATGAGCCCCTGTTACTCAACCATATTTTTACTTTTCATTCATTAACTTCAAATTTATTGACTTTTTAGAATTATTCAGTGAGCACATAGCCTTTTTGAAGAGAATTCATCGACGAAGTCGCCCAACACAACTTCAGTTAGATCGTATGCATAATGAACAATTTAGTGACTGGTTGAAAAATTTTGTAAGTGTTGATTATTTTTTTTAATAAATAGATTAGCTAGATCACCTAATAAGCATAGTTTAATGATTTTATTTTTTAATTTATTTATTAGGTGAATGATCCTTGCAATAAAAGTTATGATAGAATCTCAGATGATGTTAAAGCACTTGCAACTGGTCCAATGCATGTTGCCAAAAGATTCCATGCCTTTGATACAAATAATTGTTACAGATTTTGTACTGAGGATTATGAAAGGAATAAGAAGACACAAAATAGCGGTGTCATGGTCGTAGCAAAAACACAAAGTTATGCTAGCACTAGAGACACACGTCCTACTGTGGGAGAAGTGACATACTATGGGGTTCTTGATGATATAATCGAGCTAAATTATTATAATAAGTTTAAGATTGTATTATTTAAGTGTGATTGGGCGGATATAAATCATGCAAGTGGGATAAAGATAGACAAGTTAAAATTTACTTTAGTTAATTTGAGTCGCTCGATGTATTCTGGAAATCGTTTGACTGATGAGCCTTTTGTGTTTTCTTCTCAAGTGCATCAAGTTATATATGTTCAAGATAGAACTGCACGGGATTGGTATATTCCTATACCAATAAAGCCAAGAGATACTTTTGATATGGGTGATGAAGACTCTGAGCCAAATCACTTAATGGAGTTTAATGAAACTCAAACATCAAGTTGTGTGCATGATCAGCAAAATGTTGAGATTGATATTGATGACTTAACTTGGATGTCAAGTGATGTACAAGGCATGAATGTTGTCGAGAAACTTAGTACAGTATAAGTATGATTTTTCAAAAAAATTTACTGGTTTTGTATACCTGGGAATTATATTCTAGTTAAGTGATGTTTTTTTTTAAATATGTTATTTATTTGTTTTATAGTGTCATTTTTATACCTTTTAAGTTTTTAACTCATATAATTACCATTGATTTTTACATATATTTTTTATTTAATACTTGGGTGTGATATCTTTAATCAATATGTTTTTATCTTAATATTTCAATTGTCTTTAAGAGCATTTTCAGATCTAGATGGCAAAAAGAAGACGTTTGAACAAGATCAGAGTATCTGTGGAGAATCCTTCCACTTCAACAGAAATGGCTGAAACTCAACATACAGATATGGACGCATCGCATACTGTCCAAAAAACAATGTCTAGAGAAGAAACAACCATAGAAAATGAGATGGATCCATCAATGCAAGATGATCAGGATAGTGAAGAAAATTCTGGTATGCATTTGATCTAGTAATTGCCTTTTACCACATTTCCAGTAAAAAACATGAAACAAAGAAAAGTATTAATTTGGTGGACGATAATGTGTGATTGTGAAGGAGTATTATAGACTTGTATCTAAGTAATTGACTTAAACTAGTTGTTCAATAAAAAATAAAATAAGCTTTTTTGCCATTTTTTATTTATTGTCTACTATTATGTACTTGTGAATTTTTTTATCCAGTGACTCGTAGAGGTCCAACTATTCTTGCTGACATCTGGAACCAATCCCCGGAAGAAAAGTGGGTTGTCAAATTCAATCGTTATGGACAACCTATTGGTGAAGAAAGTACTCTTTTATCTAGTTTTATAGGCACCATAGGGAGAAATCCAGAGCTAGCACCACAAGGACATCCTGATTGGAGACTGGTTCCAAAGGAATACAAAGATAAGTGCATGGATGAGATAAGGGTAATATTTAGAATTACCTTATTCATTTCTCTTATCTTCTTCTCTTTTTTTTTTTTTGGTGCAATATTAAATTTTGCTTAATATTGTTATTTTGTTAATTTACAGGCACGTTTTACGTTTCCACGTATTGGGGAACCTTTCATTCTAAAGACTATAGGAGAAAGAGTGAAAGATTTTAGAGGAGAATTAAAGGCTGAGTATTATGAGCCAAACAAGCATAATAGGAACCTACTAGTAGAAAACAAGCCTGGTCGTGTACCTATCGAGCAATGGCTGAAATTAATTACATATTGGGAACAAGATAAGACTAAGGTATGCTTTTCCTATTTAACTTTATGTCCCTTTAGTGTTGGTTTGGAGTAATTTTTTTATTTTTATCTTATTATGTTGTGATATTGGGAAATATTGTACTGGTTGTTTGTTGGATATATAAAATGCAGGACTGCTATCAGGTTTAATAAATTTAGTTTACCCATTTTATGTGGAGATGCTGTCAAAATTTTTGAAAAATCATTCTGCATGTTAATTAGTTTAAAACATAGTCCACTATGTTATATTATGCTATTTTTTTAAGGCTATATTATTGTTACTTGTGAGCTATATAGTAAACTTTACTAATATTCTTACTTGTGAATATGTGTTTTTGATATTCATTAGAGGCGTGCAACTATGAATAAGAACAACCAATTGAAACAAAAAATGCCTCATTGTTCTGGAAGGAAGAGTTTTGCTCGCAGAAGAGCAGAAAAGGTTTTATAATGAGTTTTTTTAATTTCTTTTTACTTTTGCTTTTACTTAGAAAATTATCTCATTATAGAATTTTGTTACTGATTTCAGACTATTAATGGTGTGGAGCCTTCTTGAGCACAAATTTATATTGATACTCATAAGGATAGAAAGACAAAGGATAAAAAAAGATAGATGAAGAATCAGCTAAAGCTGTTGTAAGTGAACCATTCAAAACACTCCTACTTACAATATTTTATTTACATACTATTGCAAAACTGTAAAAGATTCAATAATGTAGGAGTTGATGAAAGAAAAACTAGCTGAAATTCCTGGTGGTGTTGAACAATCTGAAGGAAGAATTGCATGGTCGGGTGATATATATGATCAAGTTATTAATAAGCCAGAAAAGTATGGCAAACTGCGTGGAGTTGGTTTTGGAGTTAGTTCGTCTATTATAAGAGATAACTCATCAGCTAGCCAATTACGTTTGATTTCTTCAAATAATTGTGACAATGTGCAATTTGAGAATTTAATTGAGGCGAGAATTAAGGTGATACAAGAAAAACATCAAAAAGAATTGAAAGAAATGCATGAGAAGGCAAAGGAAGACATGAAACAGATGCATGAGAGACAAGAATATTTAGAGGATAATCTCTCTAAGTTAGTTGAATTTCTAACAAATACTCTGCCAAAAAAACCATCATCTCAAGAGGGAGCCAATGTAGATGAATTGGTAAGTTATTTAATCTATCTTACTAATCAAAGCTACTTTGTTGGATTGCTTGCCTTTGACCTTGATTAATAATTAGTGTTTACTTAATAAGTTAGAGTTGTACCTTTCATGTTTCAAGTTGTCTCTAAATATTGATAAAAGTAAGTTATCTATTTTAAAGATGTTTGAAAATTTGACAAATCACAATGGCTTGATGATACAGGATGATGACGATTTTACCGGCTAGTCATGACAACTTGATCGGCAAATGCTTTTGTTGGCATCAGGTAACAAATATTTTATAATAAGTTAAAGTGCATATTCCATCTCTCTAAAGTTGTATCAATAAACTTATTTTTGCCTCTTTTATATGCAGATGATTATAAATTGGATATGATGAAGTTCGGCTCTCTTTAGGGAATTTTTACATTATCTACACTATTATATACTAAGTAGTTGTTACATTTTTCTTGTTAGTGTATTTGTTTTCATCTACTGACTGGAATTATTTTTTTCTTTGCACTATTTGAAGTGATATTCGTTAATACTTTGGAATCATGATCTATAATATTTATTTTAATGTAATAATAATTTTGAGTGTGGAAACTTATAATATGAATTTTAATATGAATTTTATGACTTCTATAATATTGATTACAAATACTTGTTACAGATAGCAGTTCCGCTTTCTCAGTCCGAGAAGACTAATAATGTCAATCCTTCACACTATAATAAGTACTATTAGTATCGATTCTAGTCGCTACAATAAAAACTAAATAATGTCGATTGCTTTTGACACTATAATTAAGCACTAGTGTTGATTTTAAGTGCCACCAAAATTACCAAATGTATCGATTCATTCGCCACAATAGATACAAATAGTAACAATTGTATTCGCTACGATAAGTTTCAACGGTGGTGTTTGTATTCACTACAGTAACTAACAAATAATGTCGATTACAAACGCAACCATAAAGCAATAGCCTCGATTACAATCGCTATCATATGTGATCTCAGTTGAGGTATGATTAGGCTTTTACAACGATTATAATCGCTACAGTATTCATCACGCTTGGATCTAGTTTTTCGTATCGAATATAAGGATCAACCCCAACGAATGCAAAAAGCGCTACCAAAGGCTAAGGCAACGGGGGATCTTGTATCGAATGGTCTTTTGTTGGGGAAAGTTTTTGTGGCATAAACAATCGATACTAAACGTTATTATAATCGCCACGGAAAGATGTTTTTCTTGTACTATAACCCGGGGTTATTGTGCCAATTATGGGATTGTACGTACCGTACAACAAGTACGTAGTATGCCCATGCGCACCCTCGCAACACCAAGCATGCATGTGGGCTGCTTGTGCTCGCATGCGCTACGCCTAGCCCAGCCAAGCGTAGCAGCACGCACAGCGCGCACAACATTATGCTGCTGCTGTGCCATGCTGCTGCTTGCTGCTGGCTGGCGCGCTATGCTGCTGGCAGCGAGCAGCAGCCCACGCCCTTCCTCGCACACACACACGCACAACACCAAGCACCTAAGAATGAAGTGCCCAGCAGCCTCGACAGCCACATATGGATTGCGTGAGCAGCCCAGCTGGCCGAGAGCTAGCTCGGGGCTCTTAGGTCTCGTGTTGCGTGCTAATGCTTCGAAAATTATCGATTTTGCGTGTGACATTATAAATCAATTCTAAATTAATTTTAGAATCAATTTTGAGAAAAAATGAAAAATAACAAGTCCAACTTAAATAATTCATCCAAATGCAATTAACCAAATTTATTTCCAAGAAACATTCTTTAATAAAATTGGTTTAACTTGGTGTAATAATATAAATTAGGGCAATTCTCACTATTAATTTAATCACTTTAAATTAATCTTGAGATTTTGACAAAATAAAAAATGAACATAAGTTCAATAAAGACTCCAACTTTAATACTTGTGACTCCATGAAAAATTATATCTTCCAATATGAAGATAAACCAATTTCAATCACAAGTTTTAAACTTTATGATTCCAATCAACTAAAAAATGATTAAATCAACAAAGTTTAACCAAAATTCATGGAATTTAGTGACTCAAAGTTTCAATCACTTATCATAAATAAAGATTGAATCTTTAGTACTTGGAAGCAACAAAGAACAACAATTTCACACTTAATGCAATTAATTTGCAATTATGTGAAAAAATAAAACCAAACTTTCAAGCACCAATTACTACCAAGTAATCATGCTTAAAGTGGTCTAAAATTGCATATAAATAAAGGCAAGAACCAAATTCATAACCACCATAAATATGCAATCAATTTTCAAGGTTAGAAAGACTTAAAATTTTTTGTCAAAACGAAAAATCCCTCGAAAAATGCATTTCTGGTCGTTTTTTTGGCTAAAAACAGAGTCTTAAAAAGGTAAAACCATTACCAGAACGCCTTTTCCACCCAAAATTCACTATTTTTGGGTCGAAATCTGAGTTTGGGAGCTGAAGACAGCTCTAATACGAGGTAAAAATTGGAAAAACGAGTTACTAATCTAATTAGCAACTTAAAACCAGAAAAATTAAGCCATAAAAACACCTTGAAAATATTATGATTTTAAAAATAAACGAGCGAGGCTCCGATACCGCTGTTAAGGTTTGGTGAGTCCGACTCACCGCGGAAACAAACCCAAAAACAAGACCGCACTCGCAATAAATAAAACCATAAACATAATTTAATTAATCACAAGATTAAGATAAGCTAATTACCTTTGACGCGTGCTTCGCTCCAAAATGAGCTCTTACTTGAAAGATTCAAGTCCCGCTCACACGGAGACCTCCAACGAAGTCCACCCGCACCAACAAAACCGACTAGGTCCAATGTCTTGGGGTTAGCAATACCCGACCAATAAAACCCGAGTAATTATATTGAGTTCAAAGGTTTTCACTAATTGTGATGCCTTTTTCAACTCTTACTCAAGCATCATTCCCAATGCCCATACTTGGGTATTTATAGGAAATGATGGGAGTATCATTTACTCTCCCATCAATGTGGGATAGTATGACTTTTCCATTTTATTTTAAAGCTAAAATAAAATTAATAATCAAGCTAGTAATAAATTAACAAGTGGCAAGCTCATGTGAGTGGTTAGGTGAGGACCACTTGGAGAAGGGGGGGACCAAACTTGCTCCCTACTCCCTCTCCCATAACCGACCACCTCACTCCACACACACTCAAGGACCACTAGCCACATGGCACCCACCCTTGGGCACCAAGGCAGCCAAGGTGGGCTGTCATGTGCTGCTGTCCGTGGCAGCCACGCCCAGCAGGCCCAGCACTCGCATGCGGGCTGCCAGGCCAGCAAGCCAGCATGCTCGTGCGGGTTGCTGCTGGCATTGTGCCTTGGCCAGCGCTGCTAGGCAGCAAGCAATGGCCTAGCCATACTGCTGCTAGCTGTGGCGAGCTGGCGCGCCTAGCGTTCTAGCTGTTGCAGCTTGTTGCGGCATGGCTTGCTAGCCATTGCGCGCACAAGGCTGCGCCTAGCATGCTAGCACGCACTAGGCAGCGCCTAGCCTTGTGATGCTAGCATGGGTGCGCTAGCACGCACCAGCCAGCCTAGGCTCGGTTTGGTGCGCATGCTAGCCACCATGCTAGGCCATACGCCCTTAGCACTCGGTTTGCTTGGGAATTACGATGCTAGGGGTATTTTGGTCTTTTGTTGATTTATTACTATTTCTCGTCTCGTCTTTCACTATTTTTCGACTCAACTTCCGACGCTCGGTTTCGACGCTCTAAGCTCGAATTTTCGACGTCTAAATAAATATTACTCGGTCGACTCATTAATTCCTTCCGAATTAATTCGTCGGTTCGGTTTGTTGAATGCTAGGGTGTGACCCGAAGGGTTCAGTCAAGATTAAGCTGTAATATTAATTATTCATTAATATTACCGATTGGAAGCGACCTCCACCCAGGCATTCCGATCACTTGACCTCACTGAATATATTAGCTTTCTAATAATTCTGAACCCACTAACGGAATAGTACACTTGTTCGAAGGACACCATTCCTTTCAGCTTCCTACAACGGAGATCACGTATACCGACGCCGTTGGGTCGGTAATTCGTGAGATCCTTCCAGCTGCGGAGGATGAGGAGGGGATACCGTTTGTTCCTGAGACGGTAGAGTCGGTATGTTCCTTATGCATATCAGCATATGTATTGATATATATATATATATTTTCATATACATTTTTTTTGCTAACTGTCCATGTATTTTGGAACAGGTTCCGTGAGAGACCGCGAACGGCATGGTGAGGACTTTGTGCGCTTTCCGAGCTGCTTATCGAAGAGCTCTCATCACTTTTCATGCCGTGATCATCGGATGGTTGCGGTAAGTTTATTATATATTTATTTTTCTTTTAACGAAGTTATCACACATTTTCTGTATTAATCTTCATTCGGATTTTGCAGGATGTACAGTAGCCGTCTGGGAGTTGCCGAGCATCCTGACCTCCTTTGTACACACATTTTTTTGATTAGGAAACAAATGTATATTTTTTTTTGTTGTACATATGACACGTTTTTTGTATATATATGTCATTTTTATTTGTTTCCACGGGTACATTATATACATAAATATATATATAAAGTTGCAATAATTTTCCGAGGGAGGGAAGGCTTCCCGACTTACCTCCTTCGAAAAAATAACAAAAAAGAAACAAAAGAAGGAGAATAGGAAAAAGAAAGGAAAAAAGGAAAGAAGAAAAGAAAAAACTAAAGGAAAATAAAAAAGAAAATAAGAAAAATAAGAAAATATCAAGGAAAAGGACACAAGGGTTAGTAAAAGGTAAGCGTATGATTTGTCTTAAGATATCGTGGGGTTCCATCATTATGTAGTCCAAAATACGGAAATAATCCTAACTCACATGCCGCGATAGAGCAGACGCGCGCAGCTGGAGGAGTTGCGTGCGGCTGTCGCGCGCATGTGAATTGGTTGCGTGCGGACGTCGCGCGCAACTCATGAGTTGCGCGCGCCACCTGCTGGTGAACTTTCCTTCGAGCGAAAATTGCTGAAATTTTGCCCCTCTTGGGTCTATTTAAGTGTGGTTTCGTGTAGGCTTTTGAGTATCTCGCATTCATTCGTTAGTAATATCATAAGGAACTAAAAATAATTAATCTCTCTAAATTCTCTCTCTCTCTCTCTCTTTTTTTTTTGAACAATGGTGAAAACCTTTGAACTACGTTTGAAGCAATGGGTCACTTCCCTTTCAACCGAGGACAAACTAGCTTTCAAAATTTACCACCTAGTCCCTCTATTGAATTATATGCTAGTGATTAATTCTGATTTTCTTCATGCCGCCGTCAACCATTGGACTCTAACCATCATCTTTTCTTGTTTAAAGGGGACGAGATTGTCCCACCTCCTGGCGAGTTTGAGGCCTTGCTAGAATTCCCTACAAATACTC